TGTGAGCTTGGCCAGGCACATTCTTATGGGCACAGAGGTGGCTGTCAAAGTCATTAATAGCCAGGGCTCCCCTATACTTTTTCAAGAAGCCCACTACGTGAAGGGCTTGAATTGCCAGTAACAGTTATTCGAGGCATCTGCCACCCAGGAAACATGATTCCTCTCTGTGGACCCTACGAGCAGAGGAGACTGGCCTGGCTATCTGGAGGACCACGGCCACGTGACTGAGAGGGAGGCCCGAGCCATGTCCTGGCGTCTGGTGTAAACGGTACAGTACTGCCACCAGAGGGGCATCATCCACAGGGACCTGAAGCCAGAGAACATCCTCGGAGAGGCTGAACTGAATGTCAGACTTGCAGACTTTGGGCTCAGTCGGGAATGTGTTGGCCACGAGCTAAGCACGCTCTGTGGCATCCTCTCTTATGTCACCCCAGAGCTCTTCCGCCGCCAACCCTAAGATGTCCCTGGGGTCCACGTATGGGGCTTGGGGGTAGCTGGGTACAGGGACCCCGCTGTTGGTGGGGGAGGACTTTTGAGAACTGAAGTATCAGATTCAGAGTGGACACTTCCATGTACCTATACTTTATGTCTACAGAATGTCAAAAACTTTTTAAAAAATTAATGACCCTTGAAACCCAGCAAAAGAACTCTGGAATATATTACGAAGGACCCACAACTCAATGTGGGCCAGGAGGAGGAACTCAGGCCTTACAGGGAGCCACCCCAGGAAAACATGGACCCTCAAGTAACAGAGATAAAAAAAGAACCTGGGGTTTGAATAGGACAAGATCCAGGAATAAGTAACAGAAAGTACAACAAAGCGATGGGCATACACTTGATCCTAAGGATCAGGAAAACCAAGGTGAGGGGCCACACCATCAGGGTAAGGCCCAGCCCCAATTCTGAACCCAAGAGCTTAAGTCCTTCCCCAGCCTGAGAGGTTCTGCCCTGATGGCGGGAGACTAAAGAGCCTGCTATTCCCCACTCCAGCCTGAAGTCAGGACCACCGCTCCCCACCCAGCTGAAGTCAAGGACCTCCACCCCCAACCCAGCCCTGAGCGCAGCCCTGGGGACTTCCCTCCTCCCGCAGCAGTGGCGGCAGCAGCGCAGTGCTGGTGGCGCTCCGGAGGGAACCAACAACAAAAACTCCTTTCATTCTGGGCAGCCTGATGGTGGGACCACAGCCTCTCCCTCTGGCCAGCCTGGGGTGACGAGGAGGCTCTTCCGTTTCCTATTAAGACGCATGTGCTGCAAGCTGTCCACTCACAAAAGCACAAGTCAAGCCAATGTAATTTTTGAAAGTGTGGGCAGCCAAGGCAGGGCCACAGTCAAGACTTGGGCTCAAGCCACACTCCTGCATTTTTAAAAGCCAGACTTGAAGATGCTAAGCCCCAGGGTGGCCGGCCACGTGGTGCAGGGGAGCGGCCACAGGCGCCCGCAGTGCCAGAGGTACAGACTGTGTGCGCAGAAACCTCAGGGAGAGGGCCTGGTCCAGCGGACAAGGGAGACGTGCACACTGCCCAGCGCGGAGAGTGGCCGGTAGCCCCTGGGGGCCAAGGACGGGCCCCTTCACTGCAAGGCCACCCCTCGGCCCGCACTCAGCGGAACCGCAGCAACTGGGCTGCTTTTCCCGGGCCCTTCCCCCTGCCCGCTCTCCTTTTCTCCCATGTTTGGGGGGTTCTTATTCAAGTCTTTGGTTCTTCCAAATCTTCTAATAAATTTGATGCTCCAGGAAAAAAACAATGCTAAGTGTGATAATATCTCCTTGTCTTAAAAAACGCATTTAAATTACATTAGTGTACTTATTTTTTATCAACCACCATCTAAAAAAAGAATCTCTCTCCAAGAGGCATTTATTTGACCAAGACAACCTTAGAATCATAAACCCACTAAATCTCAAACAAATATATTCCCACTTGGTGATGTATTTATTATCAACACTCAGAGATCCTTGATTGTTGGAAGTTTTGATACAACACCAGTTAGGTTATAATGAGTATATAACTTCTTATATGTGTTAAAAAGATTAAGAGTCTCAAACAGTCTAACCATTATGCAGTACACCTGAAACAAACACAGAATAATATTGGATATAAACCATAATTGAAAAATTACTACTAATAAAAGAAACTCAAACAGGCCAACAATAAGAGAAATGAAGAAGGTTATGAGAAAATTATGGGGGAGAAAAAAAGGTCCCTGGCTCCAATGGATTCACAACTAAATTATTTCAGACTTCAAGAGAGAAACGACGTCTGTTAGGTACACTGTTCCAGAGATGAAATTTACCTGTGCATTCCACAAAGCAAATACAAACTCTACTTTTTCCTCCATATATATTCCAGCATCAACTGAACAGGGCTGTGAAGGACAGTCTTCCCAACTCCCTCCCCTCCTTTTTGACTGTCTGGGAGATAAGTATACCTCCCTGAGGGTTTGCTGCTATTCTTTATGGAGAAAGATACAGAGTATAACAAAAATAGCAAACAAATGAAATGAGGCCCCAGGTCTGCAATCGCCGCCTCCCCGGAGATGATGTGTGGAATTCCAAGCAGGCTTTTCTGCAACTTGTCTTTATTCCACAGCCACTGGGACCCATCAACTTTTCCCACTAGCCTATCTGACCTGCTCTTAACAAGGGCCATGTGGACCTCTTATCTCTCACAAGCTCTCTTTCCAGCCTACAGATATAATCCATGCAAAACAGTTATATCCCCATTGCCTCAAGGGGACCATTTGGAAGGCTGAGGCCATCCAAACCAAATGACCCCTGTTCACGGGATCTTTGCATTACCCGGAAATGATATTCCCTGGCAACATCCTCGCAGTTTTCCATAATGACAAATAAAATCAGGCCACCCTGTTTGTTTTCAGTAACTTCTTCGACACACAGCAAGTCAAAGTCCCTTTGCTTTGTTCCAGGAGAGGGCAATCTGCACCGAAGTTTTTGTTTCTTGGTTTGTTTTTAAGTTTTCCTGAGCTGTTCCATCTGAAAATGGAATCTATGTCTATTTCTATAATTTTAAAATGGGTCTTTTCATAGAGCTCAGCTAAGTCTGATTTTGAAGGGCCCCGCCATCCCTACACATCCCTCTTCTCTCCCAGATGACTCCCATTCTCTTGCAGCAGCACTGAGGGAGGCTGGGAAACTGGAGGACATTCCGGCACGGCCTCCTCCCTCAGCGCAACTCCAAGTCCAGCTTCCCGCTCAGAGGCCTCCTAGCTACCGCAGGCCTCCTGTGGGAATCAAGAGTAAACGTGTTACTTTCTCCAGACCTACTGGCGTTTAACTGCCCCAAAAGTCCTTGTTCTTGACTGGACAACAGATCATTTTAACACATTTTTTATTAGGTGACAAATCAGTGCTAAACTTGAAGGGTAGAAACCTTTAGAAGCAACTGTTACAGATCTGCTAGATCAGCCTCTAAATTTGTCTCTTCATGAAAATGGCAAGTATATTTAGAGTTTTGTGGTTCCTTCCAGCAAGAATTCTCTACTGTCTCTATATCTTGGCGCTCATTTTACTAACTATTCTCATGCCAGGCCTGCCCGTCTCCAACCACAGCAGAAGGCACAGTTGCTAGTGTTTCTGCTGCCTTCTCTTCTGGAAGCTCTCCCTCTGCCCAGTGCTTGCTTACATGCCACCAGGGCTTTGGATGACCGGTGGCAGCCTTCCTGGTTGCTGGTTTGGACCACTATCTTTCCTCTGCAGAAAAACACAGACTGGGGCTTCAGATGCTGGTTGCTCTGGATGGAGAAGTGCTTTCCCATTATTCTGAAGTCTTTTCTCATTTACTCTTTATCCTAAATAATAGGCAACCCAACCCTCTGTCCCCAGCACTGACCCAGCCCCCTCCCATTCCTCAGTTAACTGCCAATAATAATTACAACCCCAGCAATGCTAGTGAAAATTCAGTGAACTAGGCATGCTCATTTTATGACCCCATACTATCTAAACCACTCTGGGAAGCATGAATGAAGAGCCTTGAACTCCTTGATTCAGTATTTTCAGCTCTGGAAAGCTAACCTGGAAAAAGAACCCATGGTTAAATTATAGTATACCCACTCGGAGCAGTCATTAAAAGCAGACTAGATAGCAACGAAAAAATGGCAAGAAAGAAAAGAAAGACCATACAATTACTGTCACATGAGCATGATGAGGCCTTTGAAGCAGAAACACTTTCATTAAGTATGATTTATACTTTGTGATTTCTTACATGGTTTGATTTCGGCAGTAGTCAAAGAAAACAGGATCAGGCTAAGTCTCCCCATCCCCACAGGGCTCAATAAAACCTCTGTCAAGTGACTGCACACATGCAAAATACTTCCTACTAGAAACTCTCCAGGTCTTGAACCCCAAGTCATTAAGCACCTATTTACAGGCCCTGTGTAGAGGGTTTCTCACACTCATTTAACCCTCATAAAAACCCTGTAAGGAGGTGTCATGGCCTTAATTCTACACATGAAGAAACAGCTAATCCAGCATATTAAGTCACTATCCAAGGTCACACAGGGCGCCCGAGCCAAGGGTTCAACATGGTCTTCTGCCTGGGTGTTCATTGCTCTTCTTCTGTTTTTCTAGATCCTTAAACCCAAGCTAAATGTCCCAATTCATAGCATCCCCACAAACCCAGTTTCTGTCATGCCAGCTGGTGCTGTCACGCTATCAGTCCATACTGAAGACCGTTCCTGTGTTTCTATCACAGATCCTGGTAGTGATACAATCACCACTCTGCTTTCCGAGTGTGAGCTGCACGTTATTAAAATGCTTTCACTAATTCGCATTGCAAGGACTGTCACCGAAAGAGCGGGCTGGCTGTCCCCCTAAGGCCAGAGGGGTTTCCGATCTCCGTCGGTGGGCCGTGTGGGCTCTGCCAGAGACCCACTGGGAGAGCGGGAGCCTCCGACCGCACGTGGCGGTGCCCGCGCCCGGCGCGGGGAGGGGGCCGCGTGCTCCCCGCGACGGGTCCTCGCAGCCCACCCGTGACCCAAGGCCTCACCTTGAGAGTCTCGTAGGCGGTCGCCACCAGCAGGAAGGCCTCCTCGGCGCTCTGCGGCGTTCGCCCGGGGCCCTCGTCGCCGGGCTCGGGCCGGTAGCGGTCGGGGTGGTAGCGCCGGGCCAGCTGGCGGTAGGCCCGGGCGATCTCCGCCTTGCTGGCCGCGCGGCTCACGCCCAGCACCTCGTAGCAGTCCCGCGTGCCGCAGTAGAGCCCCTCCACCAGGGCCCACGCCGGCCGCGCCAGCAGCAGCGTCAGCAGCAGCTGCGGCAGCAGCGCCAGCCGGAGCCGCGCCGCGTTCCCGGCTTTCCGGCACGGAAGGAGCCGCGCCGCCATTCCGGCCTCGGCCGCCGATCCGCCCCCCGAGCGCCCGGCCGCCCTCCGCCAAGCGCCGGGCTCTTCCGCGGCGTCCGGCTCCAGCTCCGCAGGGGACGCCTCCGCGCAGGCGCACAGCGGGCGGAGGCCGCCGCAGAGTTCGCCGCCGCAGTTGCCAGGGCGACGGACGCCTTGGCCGCCTGCAGTTTCCGCGAGGTCGCAGAACGCCTTCGGAATCGCAGGGACGGAAGGAGTGATCTGTGCCGCGTGCGAAGGCGCCCTGAGCCAGCCCAGGGTGCTTTTCCGTCCACAGGGCGACCTTTTCGGCGTTATGAGCTCACCTGCTGCCATGGGAAGTTCCCCTCTCTTGCCTTCTGGTTCTCAGCCTCGGAGAGTCAGAATGATGCCCCGGGCGTTAAAGCCGGGTCTCCAGCCGCGGCCACCTTCCTCTCACTAACTCCATGCTGGCCTTTCCAAACGGAAGATGAATTTAGAGATTCTAGGCGCTGTCTGACGGCTAGGGACCCTTAAAGTTTATTCACGGCCATCTAGGTCAGGCTTTCTCTACTTCCACCCTCATGACATTTTGGACCAGATAATGCTCAGCCTTGTAGGGATTGTCCTATGCGGTGTAAAATGTTTAGCAGCATCCCTGTCCTTTGAGGCCCCCTCCAGCCAGGTGTGACAATCAAAAAAACTCTCCGGACACTGCCAAGTGTGTTCTGGGGGTCGGGTTGCCAGGGGGAAATAAATAAATAAATACTAGTCACTCAGTTAAATGAATTTCAGATAAAAAGCAAATAATTTTTAGTACAATTATGTCCCAAATGGTACATGGGACTATGCAGCAACATGAAGATCTTTGCCTCAAAAAAATTGTTTCTATCATTTTTCAGTAAATATTTTTGAGTCTTTACTATGAGCTAGGTGAAGTTTAGGCACTGGGGACACAAAGATAAGTGAGGTAAACAAGGCTCTTGACCTCAGGGAGCATATAGTCCAGTGAAGGATGACAGATAATAAATAAGCAAACGTTAAGATATAATAAATTCTTTTTTAAAAAAATTACAACTGGCTACACTTTAATAAGTAAAGTCATTGTAAAGGTTTAGATTTACAGACTGAAAAGTGAATACATAACATTTCAAATTCAATTTTGGAAGTACTGATAAGCCCTGACCCACCACAATACACCCGAGTTACCTTTTTAACTGTCCATCATTAGCACCAACAGAAATTCAACAAAATTACCTCTATTCCCACATTTCAAAACAATTCTGCAAATTCTCTGTGAAGTTTGAGTATAGTCACAGACCATAAATATTAAATTATTTTAAGAAAACAAAACAAGGTAAAGATATATACGTATGATTATACAGCATATATTATACACTGTATATTACCACATACATACATATATAAGGGAGATATAGAAGTAATGAAAACACATAGGAGAATGGCCTAACCTGAAATTATTAGAGTCAAGGTCAATCATTACGGTCAGTTCCAGGAGGAATTTCCATCTAAACTGACTTTGAAGGGCAGAGGATGAATTGAAGGGTGAGAGTGAGGGAGGAATTTTGGGATAAGGGAGCTGTAAAATAAGTACCAAGAAGGAAAAAGAGATTTAGACAAGAAAAAAAGTGAAGCTTTTCAAGAAATGAAAGGCAGTTCACATGAGTGGAGGTGGAGATGAGGAACGGACGGGATGAAACTGGGAAAAGCCCGATTGTAAGGGATCATTTTATTCCACGTTGAAGAAGTTAGTGGTAAAGCGACACCTTCAGATGTGAATTTCAGGATAATTACTCTGAGAAAATGAGTTTGGAGATGTCAGGAAGATTGTTATGATACAGTTCTGAGAATCCACGAGATCCTACAGGCCCGTTTCAGTGGACGGTGCTGAGAATGGAGAAAGGATAGACATAAGTCGAGGCACATTTATGAGGCCGAATAGGCAGCATTTAGTCACTGGTTCTGGACGAGTGAAGGAGAAGAATGAGTCACAATAATGGCTCTGGTTTCTGGATTGGGCAACCAGCTGCCATCCCTGAAATAAGGAGCACAGAAGGAAAGAAGACTTACAGTGTCGGATGATGCAGTCGCCCGAGACATGCTGTGTTTGTGATGGCAGCCATCGCCTCGTCGGATCATGTCAATTCCATGTATGAAACATTTGACAGTTGTCATTGAACTTTGCCTCCCATGAGGCTCTTCAGCTACGCAGGTTTCCCTGTCTACTTCCTCCATGCGAGCTCCTCACAGAAGCTACTTGCTCCCTGTTCCGGGCTCTCCTTCCCAAGGGGAAGATGTGCTTCTGCAGACTTGAGAAAAAGGAAATTCTCTACATTACAAATATAGTCATGTTACCCTTTCCCAACTTCACCCTCAAGTACCTTAGCACGGATTTCAGAATTCTGGGACAGCCAGGGGCCTCCCATGCTCTGCTTTTGCGCATTCTGGTCCCTCTGCCTAAGATGTTTCATCTCCCTGATTTCAGCCCCCCAACTCCCTACACCCTGCGGGACTCAGCCTCAGTGCCTCTTCCATTTGGATTCTTCCCAAGTCATAGGTCCACAGCTGGTCTAGAGCTTTGTAATCAAGATCAAACTACTGCAGGAAAGCCTCATTTCAAAGCAAACAAAACCTGGGTCTGCGGGCCTGTTGTGATTAATATATTGCCCCTGAGCTGTAAGCCCGCATTCCCTGCTGTGACCTGCAGGCTGTCAGGCTAGATGTCACACTCTGCCAATAGAGGGTGCTTCAGGCACGCTGCTGGCTGGAAAAGGAAGGAGGTATTTTTTTCTCCAAGTAAACAGGCCAACGTGCAGAGCTCCCTGTTCAGTGTCAGTGTCCTTGCCAACACATTGGTGATGGCTCCTGCTGCGGGTAGAATTCTGTCTCCCCAAAAAGATAGGTTCAAGTCCTAACTTCCAGTACCTGTGAATGTAACCTTAATAGGAAAGAGGGTCTTTGCAGATGTAATTAATTAAAATGCGGTCACACTGGAGAAGGGTGGGTCCTAATCCAATGGCTCCTGTCTGTAGAAGGGATGCACACACAGGGAAAACTACGCAGTGAAAGCAGAGGCAACAACTGGAGTCACGCCACCCCAAGCCAGGGAACACCAAGGGTCGCCAGCTACCACCGGAAGTTAGGAGGGAAGCATGGAACGAATTCAGAGGCCCCAGCAGGAACCAACCCTGCCTGCACCTTGATTTCAGACTTGAACCTCCGGAGTGTGACAGAACGCATTCCTGTTGCTGTAAGTCACCCGGTCTGTGGTCACTTCTGATGGCAGCCCCAGGAAACTGATACAGCTCCAGTAGGTGTCTTGGTCACCGCATCGGTGGCAGCTGTTAACTCTCAGCAGAGGACAGTTTTTTTTGTCACAGCAGCAGGCGTCATGCTCACACGACAGCCCCACTCTCTCCTGAGGGCAAAAGAAATAGTAAATGGATGCTTAACAGACACAAGAGTTGCTTTGGGGGTGATGAAAAGTTCTGGGACTAGATATGGTGATGGTCACACAACATTGTGAAGGTACTTAATGCCACTGAGTTGTGTACTTTAAAATGGCTATGAAGGTAAATGTTATGTTTATCACAATAAAAACAGTAAAACAAATAAATGCAAAGGATGCTACTAGCCCTGGGACTAGGGGAAAAGTAAATAGATCAAGAACTTTAAAGATGGCCGAGGAGTCTCTGGCCCCAAGTCTGAGATTAGTTTTTTTTCACTGTGGTAAAATACACATAAAACATACCCAAACAGAAAAATAATAAGAACTAATTGAATCCAATAGTGTTTGTAAAACGTTCTCCATCTTGCACCAGTAGGAATGGATGTACTACTATCCGCCCACACAGGGCTATACCATTTATAATGTTTTCCCCACAATCCTTGCCAAAAGAGCAGAACTTTCTTCCCAGTTTTCTTTCCCAGGGCGATGATAGAAGAAGCCTGGAAGTTTATCCTTCATTGGCCTGTTTCATACTAGGCCTCAGGTAAGGGGTAGAATGAGGGCTATTATCACCTGTGGCTCAACAGCTTAGGTAAAACATGTTCAATGAATCAGAGCAATCTTCCGGGTAGGTTGTGTTATTAGTATAAATTATTTGCATATATGAACATCTTAAGCCAAAGCAGCTTTATTACCTAAACTCTGGCCTTTACCTCTGTTTCTTTTGGTCCAAGTTCAAGATTAAGTGGTCACAGATGGAATTTTGAGGTGTAGCCTTATTTATTTGTACTTTGAATTTAAGGTATGCGTAAGGAGAAATAATAAGCATAGTAAACAGTGATTTCCTTACATATAACCTTTAGGCAGAGGACTTCAGTGAGTTAGCTAACTTAGGCTAACAGAGTTTAGTAATTAGCAATATCGTCACAACTGTACTTAGAATTCTGGTAATTGGGATTGATCTCTATAGCATTTCCAAGTTTTGATAAACAGTAGTGGAAAATCATGTGGAATAGTAAAATAATTTGGTGTTGATTAGCTTTGTCTACCTATCCAGAGGCAAAAGAGTAAAGGTAAGAGACTGCCCTAATCATAAATTTCAACCTAATGGATCTACACTATCCCACCGCAGCAGCAGAGTTGTCACAATCCGCGTTCCCAGGCAGCTGGCATTTGTGTTGCTCTAATGGGTGACTACTGCTTGGTCTGATTAAAAGTCCTACACCTGTGTAGATGTAGCTGCAGTCTCCATTTACCTAAAATGAGAGAGGACTTCTTGTTATAACCTCTGGATATAAGACTTATTTTTAAAGGTCTTTCCATTCAAATTCAGTATATTTTCTTCATACTTTTATCAACTTGCTTGCCCTAAAACTTAATTTGTATTAAGTGAGCAAAAAAAGTGACACCTATACATCCATAAATCAGTAATTGAAAAACAGCCATTCCATATGCAGGGGGATCTCCCCCCAAACCAGAATTACCTTCTGGAGGGGGGCTCCTTGCGGTACAGGCTTCCCCCGCTACGGGAGTGTCCTAGGAACCCATCTGAGTCAGTGCGCCCGCTGACATTGATGGCAGAGGCTGAGTTCAGCTTCAGTGAATTTTT